GTGAAAAGTGCTATATAAATACAAATTATTTCTGTTACTGGAGATAATATGTCTATAACATCATGATAACTGAAATATTTAATCCAAGTAATTTATCAGGTTTATTACCAAAATGTTTAATACAAACATTAGACTCATTGAACAAGGCTCATGAATATTTATAAGCTTTAATTATGAATATCCATATAAATGTTGAGCTATCAAATATATTTGAATAGAAATGCTCCAGGCATCACAGCAGTTATCTGAATAACAACACTGGTATACAACCAAAAAATGTGACTCACTCTTTAAAAAGCATAGAAAAATTGTCATTTTGGTTTCTCGCATCTCAAAGTTGAGTCTGCAATGCCACCTTTTATCCTGTGTGCTGTCTTGGTCACAACTTCACACTAGTATAGACACGAGATGAAGACAGCATTAAATGTTAAAATGTGCCCCAAGAAGTTCTAGTGTATGTTGAAACCTCCCTGTTCATGATGTCCACCGAACACTGCAGCTGGTCGGTACTGCAACTTTGCACATCAAATAAGCAACTGTCCTACTCTGCAACTTTGTGGCCACCATGCTTAGCTCAGTGTCAGGTAAATATAAAACAGATATGGTGGCCTGTACAGATGGCCTGAGTTACTGAGTTATGATATGCCATCCGATGGGAAAGTCGCTATTTAAATGCAAGTTGTTGTTATTGAATGGGCAGGACGCTGGAAAGCCTGGTTGCTGATTTTACGTTGTTATAGGGGGTGGTGCTTGTAAAATACACGTCTTTGTTGGGTCTCATGCCACTTTGGTTGCTGCAGTCAAATCATATCCTGGCCTCTTGAGTGACACTAACAATTTGGTGCCAATCTGGGGCAAATTTGTACTATGGCCTCACACCCACTGAGATCTAAATAGAGACTGTAAACTGATGTATTCTGCACATTGAGTATGTTTTTTTAACAATTGTGTAATTTAGAATCATTGGAGAAGTTTAAATTTGCTGTGAAAAATAGAGCTGGTAAGTGACTTAAAGGATGAACAAGGAGAACTCGAGGGAAATGTTTTCACACAGAGATTTGTTGGGATGTAGAATGCTCTGATGAGTAGAATGATGGGGACAGAGCCAATTGTGGCTTTCAAGAGGGAAGTAAATAGGCAAATGAAAGATGGGGCATTTGAAGGGAGATAAGGCAGGGCAGTGCAATTGAAGTGATCTCCTTGCTCCGTGAGCCAGTGCTGACTCTATGGGTTAAATGGCCTCCTTCTTCACTGTAGGTTTCTACGTTTTTGCATATTCCCCTACAAATACAGTCAATAAACTTTACAGTAATAACTCTCGATGACATAAGACTCAATATCAAATTCAAGACGTATTTGTATTATAAGTAAAGTTTTGTAAAAACAACTCGAACAAATCTGAAGGTCTGAGTTTAAAAGGGAACCTTCCAAATTAAAAACTAAGTTTGTATAATTTCTAGCAGACATTGCATATACATTGTATACTTGAAAACTCTCAGCATTTTGCCTTTGTGTAAAAGGGATAACTACACATCAATCAAATAATGCAGTTCTTGCACACTTTCATAACTGATAGCAAGTTAGATTGGCTTGAACAAACGTACCCAATGTGTATAACGTCTGTTCCTCAAACTTTACATTGTAGTATTTAATAAAGAAACCACAGCGGTGAATAATACATATTGGAGTTATTCTGAGTAGGAGTAAACACTGAATGCAAAGTTAAGAAAAATGCATTGAATTATCATTTGTTTGCACAACATAAAGCCCAGAAGTATCCAGCCTTCATTCAGGAATAAATCAGCATTTACAAATCTTCTGAGGTTAACTTTCTCTTCAAGGTGGTTTAAAAAGTACTTGGTCCCATACTATACTACAGTATAATACTGGACCAAGTGGACCCCTTTACCCTTTGGCTCTCAGGGTTTAGGATGTGTCTACACATGAGACAAAGATCAACAGTCCATAGATACAGATAACCTGTCTCTTCAGAACCAGTTCAAGTCCAAGATGTCTCCACCTTACCATAATCTCTTTCACACTCTTACCCCCCTCCCTGACCCTCCCAACCCAACCATGGCAGGGAAGGGAGTGATCTAAAATCATAACACCCCATCCTACCCACTCCATGAACCATTCTAGTTGAGCAACTAGTAATCAGAATTGTATCAGCAAAATTTAGGGTCCAATTCAGCTACCTTCCCTCCCAAACAAGCTTTTGAATCCAAAAATATCACAAGAACCATACCCAGACATTTTGTTGGAGATATTCTGCCGTTTCACTGTGACCCAAGGGTCTATTGACAAGTATACAAAAAAAGCATCTTTCAATATTTAACCTTGTCTGTAATTTTACTGTCTATCCCCATACTGCAACTCGTAGCTGATCCAAAGTAGACCTATGTCAATGATTATTATTCTGACATTTCTGCCAGGTATTTCTTTGGTTTCTTGTCTCCATTCGGTACAGTTGGTTCATGGACGAACCGCAATGTTCTCACATGCTGGCTATTACATTGTCTGTTTGAACAAGGTGGTTACAGTACTTATTTGAGTTGGGCATTCGGACTCACTTTCTACCGCAGTTCAGTTCCTGCACTGGAAAACACCTAACCATTCCCAATATCAAGATCACGTTGGCACATTCAGAACAAGAACTAATACTTTGTGAGGGCAAAAACATCCAAGTAGTGTGTTTGTAAACACACTGATAACATTTACCTAAATATTGCCATTGCACTGCTGGCTTTCATAAATGTTCTCTTGCATCCTGCCAAAGAGTAAAGGTTCTGAACTCTAATCAGCAGCACAGGTCTGCTGCGGGCAGTGATGTGAGCCTCACTAAAAAGTGCTGTGCCGCCGTGTAATCCAATTTGTGGAGTCCTGTAGCTCAGTGGTTAGAGCACTCGCTTTGCAAGCGAGAGTCCTGAGTTCACTTCCCGGCAGGGCGAAACCTTGGGCAAGTTTCCTTACTCCACACGCCTAATAATAATCCCTCCAAAAAAAACCAAAACAATAATAAATTGGTCATTTTCAATCCACAACTGTTTGTGGGACATTGCTGTGCGCAATTGGCTGCCGCGTTCGCCCACAAATATACAGTCAATTCACTTTACAGTGTGTTCTGTGAAGCGCTTTGGGACGTCCTCCCGACGTGAAAAGCGCTATATCAAATGCAAGGATTATTATTATTATTAAGGTAAAAAAAAAATTACTACACATTGCTCTCTGGTCATCTGTCACTCGACAAGTCTTGCGAGTGGAAAAGTGCTGCACGTTTCCAAACTCGAATCTCGGATACTTGTGGTTGTTGCCCGGCATCGTGCAAGACCATCTTTTAGAAAAATAACAATAACTTGGAATTGCGGTCGATTTCGAATCCGTAAGCGAAACATGAGCGTCGTGCAAGAAAGGGGAAAGTGCAGCACTGAACACTGAGACATGAGGGGGGGTTGGTTTGTGGTGTGGTTGTTGCTGTTGTAGCTAATTCGACTGCCTCTTCCAGTGAGTTGAAGTGGCTTAAAAAAGCCTCCTGTTACCTTTCCCCCCCAACATGGACCCCCTCCTTCTCCCCCCAAACCACCCCCCAACCCCCTACTATTCTGTGCTGGAATAATATAACGTTGGATATCATCTTTTAACCCCTTCTGGGAAAACTTTTAGCTGGAAAGTGCTACTCTGCTCAGTGAGTTGCACTGGAACCCACACGACGCTTTTATTCAAAAAAACACACCAACACCGAATCCTAAACAGCATTGCACTTTGCCAGTGAAAGTGGTGAAGAAAATCAGTATGAAAGCCACAGAACTGCTATAATAACAGCTGTCTGGTGCGTGTTATTTTTTTTAGGTGGGGGGGGGGGATGCAAAACTTTTAAACTGTACGGTCTTGGTTCCGAGAGCAGTACAGCAGAAATGTTATGCATTGCGCTACTTTCTCAACTACTGAACCCCCCACCCCAAAAAAAAAGAAGCTGCACATCAATAACTTTTTTTAATAGCAACTCTTGACGCGTCAACTTGACCTGAAGCTGAGCCAAAGCTGCGCAAAGAACTTACAGGAGCAGATGTTTGCACTGACAGCTGGACCGCTGCCTACTGCCTGCCCCCACGTTATAGTTAAAGAGTTAAACCTGCCACATCGCCTGCTCGGGGGGGGGGGGGGGGGGGGGAGGGGAAAGAGAGAGAGAGAGAGAGAGGGTGGGTGGGGGGGGGGAACAACAACAACAACACCTTCCAAAGACTGGCAACAACCCACCCACTCGGCTCCGGCAGAATCGTGCACACACACAGTAAAACAGGCGCCACACAGCCAACACCTTCCCATTCACACAGCAGCCTTTAAGCATTCCCAGACCCCGGCGAGAGGATGGGAATATGGTCATCTTGCGACTGGGAAGGGGCAATGGGTTGGGGGTTGGGGGGGAGGGGAGGGAGGGGGGAGGGGAGGGAGGGGGGGAACACCTACAGGTTTGGGATCAAAGTTCTCGTTTTAACAAAAATCATATTTCTCAATATAATTGGACTTTGTTACCCCCTCAACAAAATAACCCCCCACCCCCTGCGTTAGCAAAGATGACGGTAAGATAAAAAGCATCTCTTCCCCCCCACCCCCCCCCCCACACACACAGAACACTCACTAACACACTAACTCTCTAACTCACACACTCACTAACACACACTAACTCTCTAACTTACACATACACTCACTAACACACACTAACTCTAACTGACACACACTCACTCACTCACTCACTCACTAACACACACTAACTCACTCACACACACTAACTCTAACTCACACTCACTCACTAACACACACTAACTAACTCACAGACAAACACACACACTAACACACACTCACTCTCTAACTCACACACACACAAACACTCACTCACACACACACACTCTCTAACTCACTCACTCACTCACTCTTGAGTAACGGGAGGAAGTTTTCTTCTCTCCCCCCCCCCCCCCCCACCCCTCCCCTCCCTCCTTTACCTTTTGGTCCACGATGGAGCACGCCATTTCCCGCACATGTGAGAGGGAGAAGTCGCTGGAGTCGAGGATGACGGGCTCTCTGCTCAGGCCGATCTGGATGTGGAAGGGGATGCCCAGACTGCACAGCCGCTGCGCTCCCGGGGAAGGACTGGGCGGCCGGAGGGCTGGAGCCACACTCATCAGCCTGACTCTGCCTCGTCCCGTCCGCCTCCGAGAAAACCAAACGGGCTTTGCCCCCTTCCAGGAAACTTTCACTCCCTTCTCTTTCTTTCTCTCCCTCTCTCTCTCTGTCTCTCTAACCCCTCTCCTCTTCTTCCTCCCACTCCCACCCCCCACCCCCTAACCTCTCCTGGCTCAACGGTGCGTAAGATGGCGACAGGACTAAAGGGGCTTTTTTTTTAAAGTGGAGGAGAAACGCAAACAGGAAACAGGGCTGGGAAAAGAGCGCAGGGAAAGGGAAAGGAGGCGCTGGGCAGACGCTGGTGCTTTGCTCCTGCTGCTGCTGCTGCTGCTGCTGCTATTGCTAACCAACAGCGGCGGCGGCCACTAAACTCTCCACTGACTGATGTTACTGCTGCTACCGCCTCCCCTCCCTCCCTCCCTCCTTCCTTCCTTCCCCCCTCACCCCCTGACGGACGATCCCAGAGGTCGGGAGGTGGGTCTCTCTTGTGTCTTCACTGCCACCCCACACACGTTCCAGTCCTGCTCTGCTCTGGATCTCTGCCCACACCCCAGGGGGCGACCCTCTCTCTCCCTCTCTCTCTCTCTCTCTCACACACACACACACACACAGCGTCTGACTGCGCTTTGCGGGCTGTTAATTGTTGGCTCTTTCAGTTGGCAGACAGACCCAAAGGGGAAGGGCGAGGGTTAGTGTCAGTGTCAGGCTTACAATTAGCTGTCCATCAAAGCCCAATACACCTTCTTTGCACTTCTCGCTTTTACAGAGCAGTGATAACGACAATCGTTTTCATTTATTTGTTTGTTTAATTATTTATTGCATATACACCACCATCTCTCCTTCCCTTTCCTCCCCACAACAGGATCTAGGTTTTATATATATATATATATTATATTAATATATATTAAAAATCCACACACACCCGAGAAATGCAAGTGACACTTGCTTGACACTGAAGCACAGGGGATAATACATTCTGCAGTTTGTCAGTGAGGTCGGTCGGTGCATTTCATTCATCCTCTGTGATCACCTCTCGGCTCGTGGTGCTGTGGAGTCGGCTGTTGCAAAAGAAAAAGTTTTGGACTGTTAGATTGTCGGTTGATGTACCAAGTTGGCTCTGCACAAGGCTATCCGTTTGATTTACAGTATTTCACGCAGAGCAGAGGCTGTGGCTTCACCGAACTCGCTTTGACATGTGCAATTCCTGACTTGCCCATCACTTCCACTCAACTTTGCAATCTGTGCAAAACAAAAAAAAACCAGAACACACCCGCCAAGAACAAGCAATAACTGTCACTTGTTTTAACCGTTGCATTTCGTAGTAAATGCGAAGAGCCGCTGTGTTTTAACGCTCTGCTCTCGACTTGAGGTGTTTGATGGCTTTCAGTCACTGACGGGATCTATTTTGGGTTTTTTTAAAAAAAAACAGTGACAAGTGTGTATTTTGTGATGCCCCTTCGCTTTATCTGAGGTTAAGATTTCCTGCAGTTGGCAAGTGCTCAGGGGCAGAGTGAGGAGGGTTCGTGAAACAAGGAGATTTATTCTGTTGGCTGCTGGAATCCAGTGTGAGGGGAAAGAATAAAATGCTGCAGTGCCCCGACCTCACTCACTCGCCCCAAGTTCACTTCCCCCTGGAGATCCCCGCAGGTCAGTGCTCACCAGTGTTCAAATGAATCTGGGAATGCGACTGAACCGGTTCATTCCCCGTGTCCCGGAGGTGCACTGGATACCATTACCGTAACCGACTGTCTCAAGGTCGGTAGTGAGTAATAAAACCTAAGGTCCCCAAGTCAGCAGCCGTTGTCAGGCTGATGCGGGTTATTTTTTTTCATTCGGAATTTCGATCAGATCGATGACTCTTACTCCAAACAGTGGCAAATATTGAATGTGCTTTCACCTGAGGCCACTTTCTTGTTGGGTGCAAAACTGGTAATAGAAATACTCCCCTCCCAACCGTGGAGATATATCGACAGGTGTTCTACCTTTCTGCTCAGATGATTGCTCCCAAACCTCCTCTGAACAAGTGCCAAGGTCGCAAACTGTGTCAAACCAAATGACTTGATGGCTCTATACTGTACGTGCATTACAGGCGTCCTGTGCCACCACAGCTCTCGGCTGAGGGCACCGTTTCTATTCCACAGACCACAAAAAAAAATTCTTAATGCTGCCACAGATGTTTCCCTTCTTCCTTTGAATGTCACATCACTGTAAGAAGTGTCGACAACACAATTCAAAATCTTCACTTTGTCATTTTCATATTCCTTCACTGCTTTCCTTTATTTGATTTGGATCTGTCTATTCCAATCTGACTGACCACACACAACGATTCATCCCAGTTTTATAGATGAATGAAACCAACATCAGCAACCTTAAGTCAATATTATTCTTGCTGAAAGTGCAATATTATTGTTCATTTCGTGTTTGACAGGGACAACTGAAGTTTGCAGCTCCAAAATGAAAGGGCAACACAAAAATTGCAAACTGACTATAATCTGATACTGTAGGAAGATATCCTTCCAGGGAGATTAGCAAGCACTTGATATAAACCAAGCTGGGTCAAATTCCAGTTTAGATGTCATGGAAACTTATTTGGATTTCGTTTCACATAAAAAGATTAGCGGGGTGTTTAAAACTAATGCATACTTTCCATAAAATGCAAATAAATTACAGCTTGTCAAAAATGTCAAATTTCAGTTCTGCACTTCCCCCTCAATGTGCCTACCTTTGGACTCAGCTCTACCCAGCAATTAGTTCCATCTCATCAAGAGTCACTGCAGCATGGCAAGGCTGATATGGTGAAGCTGTTTTATATATAAATTCAAAGCCTGCATTGACATAGCTGCATTTCCGCTGCCAATCATTTTCACTATGTTGCACAAATCTTGCTAATATTAAGATGCCTGGGATTCAAACTTGTCATTGTGAAGCATTCGAGACACTATGTGACATGAAAGGTGCTATATAAATGCAATTGTTGTTGTTGCAAGACGACCAATTCGAATGTCCCATAATGTGATATGAAGGTTATCGTGGGGAAAAAATGTTCTAATTCCGTGTGATTTTTTGACCCTGGAAAAAATGTACATGAGTTCCTTGATAACTTTTTAAATTTTCTTTTTGGTCAACCCTGATTTGGACATTTGGAAATCCATCATCGTGCTTCCAAACCAGAGTTCCATATACATATGCCATAGAAGTTACCCTGTGCTTTTCAATTTCCCTGCTCCCCCCCCCCCCCCCCCTCCACCCTGACCTCCAGCTTGGGTCCATAACTCTGTCTGTCCAGCACCTTGGGATGTCCTCCTGACGTGAAAGGCGCTATACAAATGTCATTTTGTTGTTATTGTTGCTTGGAATTCAATGTGCACCCCCTTCCTGGAGTGATGCACCCTGCTTATCCAGTTCATGAAGGCACAGGTTGATAACAGCCAAGACTTGGGAATCCAGAATGCCCATTGAGAGTACTGCAAGCTTTCTGTTCATTGTAAGTTATGTTCCAATGTTTCCTCTGAATACTGTAATGGAATTTCAACACTCTATCATCACCACCCAAAAGTAACTTCAATACGTTGGAAGAATTATTCTACACCTTTATGTAATTTTAAACATTTGCAACGTATCTCCTTTTTAAAGATGTGATGAACATGGCATGTGAATATGTCAAAAGATATAATTTTTAAAGAGTGAACTTATTCTAGATTTTCAGTTTATTCGAAGAACATTGTGGATATCGATGGGATATTTTGGCTTTGGGAACCAGGTGTAACCATTTCTAAGGGTTGTTTTAACATTAAAGGAAGCTGTTGCACTTGTTAGGAGAGTGCCTGTAAAGGGTGATAAATCATTCATTGGTTTTGTTCCTTTTATTTGATATTTTTAAACCAACACAAAAATCTACACTTCAAAATAGTGATTCAACTAGAAGACAGAATTTTTACCCAATATTTTCATTCTTATTGTTCCACTTGCTTAAATGTGTATTTCCTGATGAATTTATGAGTCTCAAGGTTGCTCTGCACTGCAACTGAGTATCACTCATGTTTCCCACTAATCCTCCTGTCTGGACAAATGTTTTTTTGGATGAGAAAAAAGTGAACGGTCAGGTCAGTTTGTTCTAATACTGTACGCTTCTGTTCTTATTTTGGACTGTCTGTCTCTCATTCCTCCTTATATCATTCTTACATCGCTACACCACCTTCATTCTGTCATTTCACTTTTCAGAGCTACTCAATGGATTTTGCTAGTGTTGTTAGAGTGACTGCTGGTACACAACACTAACTATGTAATTTGGATGGGCAAGCTTGGATTGAGGGTCTGTTCTTGACTAAAATTGTTACTATGGTTCCTAAATGGTGGCCTCCCTGGGAGTTAAATTCGATCGCACAAATGCTATTACTGTCAGCCTGCTTCATTGATAGTTTTGTCAAGAATAAAACTAACTGCTGGGTAATTTAGTTACTCCATTATATAGCAACTCTGGTGATTTTTGTAGGTGGCAAATAAATAATTCTGGATTGAAATCTTTCTGTTTGATAAGATTATGCTCATTTGCCATTTTTGAAAAGAAATTGTCATTTGCGTTACAGTATAAGGAATAATCATAGTAGTGGAAATCATACTGAGTAATTTGGGGAATACTTTGGAGTGTATGACATACACATCCCTGACTACAACCAAAATCTATAATGGACTTCTCAAAGCAGCAAAACTCTTGCCTCTTTTACTGTTCTATTTTTATAAACTCCTTTCACTTTGGGCTACAAACATTGTTGTCTTTTCACATCCTGGCAATCACAACAAAAGCTTGCATTGTAATATGTCAAGTTTGTTGTCCTTATTCAGGAACGCTAGCTCCTTTGGATGAGTGCCTGATTCCGTAACAAACTTGGTGTGATGAAAGGGTTTTTTCCCATTTAGATCCTCAGCGACAATTATACTTGACTCCTGATAATACGTCTGTCAAAGTATTTTATGTGTGAATCAGGATTTTCATGTGCTGGATATAAAACAATACTACTACTATACCGTGCAATATAGGTCCCTCAGTCCATTCAATTATATAATCTGGGTGTTAATGTGAAAGCTTGTGACATGTTCGTACCTTCCCATGAAAACAGGCA